CAAACCAACCCCCACCAAAAGCCCAACAGGGCTCAGGGCCTCAAGAAACGCCCGGGTCTGTGACCCCAAACTCGCCCCATCCGGCTACGCTTACTACACACCAAACGCCCGGGTCTGCGACCCCGAACTCGCCCCATCTGGCTACGCTTCGACTGCACACCAAACACCTAGGTCTGCGACCCCGAACTCGCCCCATCCGGCTATGCTTCGACTGCACACCAAACACCTGGGTCTGCGACCCCAAACTCGCCCCATCCAGCTACGCCTCGACTGCACACCAAATACACCTGGGTCTATGACCCCGAACTCGCCCCATCAGGATCCGTGAGCTCCGGCTCGCTCGATCTCTAAACTAACTGACTAACTACCTCGGCTGCGCGGGCTGCACCGGGGCCAGGATCCACGACTCCGACTCGCCCGATCCCACGGCGCGCACCAACACTAGGATCAGCGAGCTCCGTCTCGTCCGATCCCTATACTAACTGCCTCGGCTGTGCGAGCTGCACTGGGGCTAGGATCCATGACTCTGACTCGCCCGATCCCACGGCGCGCACCGACGCTAGGATCAGCGAGCTCCGTCTCATCCGATCCCTATACTAACTGCCTCGGCTGCACCGGGGCCAGGATCCACAACTCCGACTCGCCTGATCCCACGACACGCACCGACGCCAGGATCAGCGAGCTCTGTCTCGTCCGATCCCTATACTAACTTCCTCGGCAGCACCGGGGCCAGGATCCACGACTCTGACTCGCCTGATCTCACGGCACGCACCGACGCCATGATCCACGAGCTCCGTCTCGCCCGATTGCTAAAAACTAAAAAACACCTCGGTTGCGCAATGACACCTTGGTTGACGACTCTGTCTCGACTAAAAAACACGCACACACGCCCGTTGACAAAACCCTCCAGACGATTTTGCTCGAATCACCCGGGGGCTCGGGGCTACACCCACAGGTGCGCTCGCATGCACCCGCTGACAAAACGAAAACTTCCCCCGCTGGTAAACACGAAACCCCCTAGACGATTCTGCCCGAATCGCCCGGGGGCTCAGGGGCTACACCCACGGGTGCGCTCACGCGCACCCACCGTCAAGACAAAAACCCCCAGACGATTCTACCCGAATCGTCCGGGGGCTCGAGGGCTCCTGTCGGGTTTATAAACCCGGGGTCCATCGTGGACCGGCTTACCAACAAAGGCTCGGCCTAGCAGGCAACGTTGCAAACAACGCGCAACTCATGGGCCGGCCCAAATACCTGAACGACAGGACGGAAAGGCGACCCAACCACTGACCGGAAGGCCAGGCCAAGGTGGAACAACGCCTGTTTTTGACTCCGGCCCACCTCTCCGACCGGAAGGCCTGTCCAAAAGCACCGCCTCCGACTTCAACCCGCGCTCTCCGACTGGGGATACGCCAAGCCTCTGCTCACTGCTCTTCTCTGACTGGCGTGATCAGAGCCGACTAGGACCAACCGACCAGAGACGCCCGCTCAGTAAAGACCAGGAAACGGACGGAGAAAGTAAGGCAGGGCGCACAAATCAAACCGCAATACCAGGGTCTGTACCCTGTGCACCTGTGGAAACAGTACTCTGCAACCTCTGACACAACAGAGCCCAAACAGTATTGTAGGCGCCGACATTTTCCCTACGGTATTATGGGCACCATTAACTCCCATACGGTAAAGCTTCCCCCACATGCCTCTGGACATCGACAGTGTTATGGGCACCGGTATTTACCGTATCAAGTAAACATGGTGAAACTCCTCACATGCCTCTGGACATCAACAGTGTAGCAGATACTGACATCTGTCATACCCCAGCAAGACGACGTAACCTCCCACGTGCCTCCGACACTCAACAGTGTTGTGGGCGTCTACCATCATCATGTACCCGCCGTGCGTGGGCAGCAAGACTCAGTAGCATACGTACTCTCTCCCTCTCACTTGTAAAGTCATCATCTTCATCTATAAAAGGGGATACGCTCTCTCCCAAAAGACTAAGTCGATTGAAGTCATTCCAGATTCATTAGTTCGATCAAGTTTACTAGTACACAACCACAGAACCGCCAGGTTTGAACCACAATCACACGTTTGAACACTTAACTCATAGCGGGGCTCCTGTCGCTTTCGATCCCTCTGACCAGAGTTCGACCGGACCTCTTGTACCTCCATATTTCTCTTTCTCGTTTGTAACCCCACTGCAAACTTCGAGCACCTGGGCTTAGAAATAAAGTCACCGACCGACTCAAACTGGACGTAGGGCACGTTGCCTAAACCAGTATAAACCCTATGTCATTGAGTGTTAGGCCACCTCCGATCACAACGTACGGCAAAACTACAAATATTTACTTGTTGGTCACTTTCTGCATCGACATATTTGTAGATGGATTATACATGACGAATCCTACATTACAAAGAGCTAGCGAACTCAGCCTCCACGATTAAATAAAGAAATGTAAATGAATCTAACAAACGAACGAACGCGCACGTAGGTGGAGAACAAATGTTCCCCAACTATTTGCTTGAACGCCAGATTAATTAGATTATAGTACTTCAAGTAGGATCGGAGTACACATAGTCACATATACATGCTGACCCTGAATACACAGCTTAGCTGGACTAATAACATGCATGCGCACAAATTAAACAATGCAACAACAAACAACTAACAGATGAATCGACGGGGGGGAGAAGAGAAGTTTGCTGCTGCATTGGTTGTTGGGCGTGCACAATCGATCACATGGCCCATTGCCTCCGTCATCATCACAGCGAAATGGAACTGACCTCTCTCTCCTGTCTACTCTCCTGAACCAGGAAGAATGACTACGAGCAGAAGAAAGGAACCAATATGACGAGAAGGAATCCCCCAATTGACATATACTCGCATGTAGCTCATTTATTTAGTGACATCATAATATATAATAAGCTAGTTAACTGCAGTCAATAAGTCTCTGTTATAGCATATATACCATTAATTAATTTCGTTTTGGTATGCAGTGGCAGGACTGGTGTTTTCTAGGCTAGGTTAGTTGTGATCGATCTTTGAGCTGATCGAGCTTATTGGTTGCTGCTGCTGCAGATTACACTGGCATTCACAAACAAGCAGTAGAGAGATGCGCCATCAACCAACATAGAAAGAAAGCTGAAGCTTCGTTCTATGCCACTTCCATTCTGGAATCCGTAGCATTTTTTTCTTCTTCTTCCAAACATTTTAGGACTCGTTTCATCGTCAAAGTAGTAGTAGTAGTAGTAGGTTCCATGTTGCAATTCCAACCAACTCGGAAATGGCCTCCTCAACATCCACACACACCTCATATCGCTACCACCTTTAGGTACAAGGGACTGATGACTACTGAGGCAGATTAAACTAGATTAGGTGCATGTGTATCATACAAGTGATGAGGGCTAAATAAAGCTGCATCCCACCTAATATTCTTCTCTCAGCTGATAGCCTGTCTGACGCCTCTTGTGAAATAGTAATGCTAAAAGACTTTTACGCATGCAATAAGACAATCAGCATCATCAGCTGCAGCTCAGCTGCAGCTGCAAGGAAACAACTTGAATATATGTATATATACTCCATTGATCCTGTGGTGGAAGTATATATATATTTATGTATATGTTACAGCTGAATCGAGGTACTTGAACTGTCGTTGAAAACAAAAACTGGAGGCTGTGAGAATCCAATACATGCATGGGGCTTTTTTATCTTTGGCCCTCTTCCTGCAACCGAAGTTGGCGCTTTGGCCTGTTGCTCTGGTTTTACGGGTGTTTGCTTCTCGGCAGCAGGGGCAGGGGCCAGGGTATCTCGCCCCATTCTCTGATTCTCATATCAGTCAGTTCCAGGCTGCTCTCCTACACAGTTTGAGAGAGATAAACATGTTTTTTTCGTTAATCATGCTTGGAAAACATAGAGGTGCATGCCCACTCCGTTCCAATTGCAAACTGATTTAATATCATCTTTATACAAATATTTTTTTGCTGTACATTTAGATATGTGCCACCTCTTAGCACAATCTACGGTCAGGGTAAGGGTAAGCGAGCGACCATGTTCATCCCAAAAAGCCTCTTCAACATATTAAAAAAAATCTCACACAAACATGCTCGGATCCCACAAGGCGGGCATGAAGAAACATATACGGGCTTGTTTGGCTGCCCTCCGATCCATCCTGATTCATCTGATTTTAGATTAGAGTAGGATGGAATGCAACCAAACAAGCGGCCATCCATCCATCCACAAATCACACGGGTTTTAGCAAGGAATGAATATGAATACCACCATTTCATTCCGTTGCATTGGATGATTGGAAGCATGCATCTTCATGTTAGGAGTACGTAGTACGCCAAAAACGGGCAAGCAAGCGTAGAAGTCAGCCATATTTCACTGTCAGTGACTGGAGAGTTTCCTCTGGAGTGACGCGGGCGGGAGTGAAAACCACACCTCACCTCACCTTGTTCACCTGTAGCCGTTGGTTGAGAAAGGCAAGTCGCACCGCACTCCACTTCACCCGGCTCCCGCCCTCTCCCTCAATCCTCACCAACCACCCTCCCCAAGTCGCCAGTTCACCACCACCTTCACTTCGCACCGGGCCACCGGCCGTATTCATTCCGATTCCACCTCCCTCCTCGCCCTACGGCTGCAGCATCTCCCCCTCACCCTATCGCCCCGCGTCTCTCCCTCAAGATACTCCTTGGTCTCACCATTCCATTCCCCGGGCCGTACGCGCATTCCCGGCTAGCTCCTCCTCCGATCTCGGCACGGCCATGATCTTGAGTTCTTGGCATTGATGGTGTTCTGGTAGCGAGCCTTCTTTAACCCACCTTAACAATAACTGCGTGCCCCCACCTCTCCTCTCCTCTTGCCCTGCAGCCCGAGCTGAGCTGAGCTGATTCGGCGGGCTCTGCGCTGCTCCACATCCATCCGTCCGCCTTCGCCCAATCCTGATCCAGAATCCTGTCAGCGGCGCGCCGTGATCCGGCAGCAGCAGCAGCTTCGCGCGGCCATGGGCACGGGCGCGCTCGCGGTGGCGGCGCCGGCGCCGGACCGGGCCAACAAGCAGCGCCGGGCCGGCGGCGCCCACCTGTGGAAGAAGGCGCTGCTCCACTTCTCCCTCTGCTTCGTCATGGGCTTCTTCACGGGCTTCGCGCCCTCCTCCTCCTCCTCCTGGAAGGCCGACACCACCCCCCACCCGCTGCACCGCCCCGGGGACCGCCTCGCCGCCTCCCGCGTCGCCATCGACGCGCGCGCCTCCCTCCTGCCGTCGCCGCCCGCGGCCGCCGGCGACGCGCTCTCTGCCGCCGCTGCCGGCGGTGGCGGGGCCACGGTGGACGTGGGCGACGACGACGAGGATGGCGCCGCCGGCCAGCGCCGGCTCCTGATCGTGGTCACCACCACGCGGTCGGGCCCCGGGGAGCGCCGGCGCCGCCGGGGCGAGCTGCTGCGCCTGGCCCACACGCTCCGCCTCGTCCCCCCGCCCGTCGTCTGGGTCGTCGTCGAGCCCGCCGCCGACGGGCCCGCCACCGCCGAGGTGCTCCGCGGCACGGGCGTCATGTACAGGCACCTCGCCTTTAAGCCCGAGGAAAATTTCACCACCGCCGAAGCCGAGGCGCACGCGCAGCGGAACGCCGCGCTCGCGCACGTCGAGAAGCACCGGCTCGCCGGCGTCCTGCACTTCGCCGACGCCGCCGGCGTCTACGACGTCGGATTCTTCGACCAGATCCGACAGATCGAGTCAGTACCCGCTCCCACCTTCTTCAAATCTCGCCCTCTGCTTCCTTCCTTCCTTCGATTTCATGTCATGCTTGCTTTTAATTGATGAATGAATAATGCTCTGATTGATTCGTTCATCTTCCTTACTTGCTCCATTGAAATCATTCTACTAAGATGCAGCATAATTAGAATGTGTCAAAGATTGGAGCTTTGCCTGTTCCCCTTCTTCAATTTGACATTTAATTGATCTCCATTTCCAGCATGCATCCTGTTCTTCCAGAATGTATGTTGCTTGAATCTGAATCATAATGCCTAAAATTGCAATTCCAGCTCATAAATTTCATTTCGGATCGTTTTTTATGCCCACCGACTAGGACTACGACTAGGGTTCCTCATAACTAATCACCGCTTCTTAATTTTGGAGTACCAGTAATTTATTTTATTTACTCGTCTAAATAAATGCTTTAGTAGCCGTATAGTTTGGTACATAGATAAATTATTGAAAGCACAAGCTGTCATTAGTAGGGGAATAAGGGTGGGACAATGCGTGTCTCGCCTGTACTACTTCTTAATTCTCTTATGATGAAAAGAGAGAGAGAGAGAGAAAGGGGCACTGTAGATGCTTAGAGAACTTTAACTATTCTCTCTCCATTTCTCTGATGCGAGGAGGAGTCAATTATTGGATCTAGTTTACCACTTTTCTGAGTACCTTTCGCCCCAACAAACAAGGCTTCTTTTTCAGACTTAATCTTTCGCTTTTGCTCGCCCCCAACGGACCAATGTGTTCATGCCAACCACTCCAATTAGTTTAATTAAGATTTTAAGCACGTCTCATGAGCAAAGCCATAATTATTTTATGTGGTAGTGGTAGCACTGTTGTTAGTCTCTGACAAATGGGCCTGTAACGGTGTCGGTGGCACCTAACGAAATGGAAAGTAAGTGGAAACACGGCATCCTTGAATTGACTCCCGAGATGTTGTTACTCCTAAAATGGGGAAGCAATATGCTGGGGGAAAATAGCCACAAAAGATAGCAGGTGGGGAAAAAATAGAAGGAACCGTTATGCCATGGCCACTGAAGAGATTGAACTAAAATGGAGAAGGTCCTGGTCCTGTGCACACCATTAACTGCTCCCTCCAACCCCATGAATGTCCATCTGATATGCACCACAGAAAGTTGCCCACTTATTTGGTGCAGCTTTCCTATACTGTTGCACACAGCACACCTGTGATTTAGAAACTCTTTTCTTTTCTTGTTTGCAAAATACGGCTTGAATCTTCATTTCTGTGCAGACCATCAGTTGTCCTTGGAGATTTTTCTCATGAGGAGTTTGAAAATCTTGCAAAGATGAGATTTCACATTTTCATTTTACCAACATTTGATGTTGGTTATTGGGTTTCTTACTTGCATGATCATGAATTTCCAGCAGAGCATGAAATCCAATATTTTCACCTGAGTATGAAACTAGTAGCATCTGAAGCTTGTTGTTTACCTCTTTCTCTCTCGCTCTCTGCACTTGGTCCTAAAATGTGACCACCCCTTTAACCTTTGCTTATCCATCCGAAACAATGTTAGCGGATGCTGTTAAAAGATTATATGCTTATGGGTATAAAGCAATCTACATTTCAAAAAAATACATACATAACACAATCTTACTCGGCATCAATTCCAAAACTTTTTGCCTCTCAACTCGAAAACATCCCTGAAACATTTGACTTACCTTTCGTATTCACTTTTCCGATGGTAGCATTCTAACATTGGTGATGAGTGCTTGGGTTCATTAAGAGAGGGAATCACACCTTGGTTCAGTACAATAGTACTCATGCCATGTGAGAGCACAGTGGCGATGTTCCCTGGAATAACAATCTTTTTGGCTGAGGGAACATGATGGATAAAATCAGTCCTTTTTTCCTCAAGCAAGGTTTACCTGCATCTTGGTACCAAAACATCTGCACTTGTTTTTCTAGTTTGCCTTCTGTTATTTTTTCTTTCTTTCTTTTTTGGAATCCCTTTTAGTTTTTACAGTCCTCGAGATGCGTGCACATCTGCTCTTGTGGCCCCTGATGCTTTTTGTGGGGCTCCAGCATAATAATACAACAGAGCTAGGAGCATCCATTATGCCTTGTCGCGCATATGGCCTAGCATGCCTGTCCTAGAACTTACCAGCTACAGTGCAGGTGCACAATATAGTGACACTGTAAGTGCAGTTTACTAAATGACGGGGTTTGACCATGGTTAATGCCTCTTGTGTCAGGTTGAGATTCAGCATTGGCATCTTTTAAGCCTAGGAGGCTGAAATATGGTTACGGTTTAATGTTTAAATTAAGCTCGTGTGTTTACTGTGCCTAGTTGTGTTTGACTACATATTGGGAACACGTGTGCTTACTTTTGCATTGCTCGTCAACCATTGCATTGCTCGTCAACCATGTGCAGCCGTGTAGGCAAGTGGAGGGTGTAGCTGTACTGTATAGTCCATGACTCCATGTCCATATATCGGGAGGCAGTTACATGCAATAACTCAGTCTATTCCTTGTATCAAGTGATTTGTATGAGTGGTCAAAAGTATAGTAGGCACTAGGCAGCATGTGGAATATTTGTATGAGTGATTTCCATAACATCTTCTTTTGAGTTGAGGAAATCAGATGCCTCTGTTATTTTTCTTCAAATTAAACTCATTTGGCTGATGTGTGCTTAGTGCCGGTGGAGTCTCATCCTAGTCAAGGTTTGGTGGCACAATGCTTTTTAATTCCATAATTCTTCTGACCCAATCAAGATGAGATACATAGATCACAGGCATAGCTCACGCTTGCACCACACATGTTTTGGTGCATGTTGCATAGTTCTTGCTGAATTTCATCTCAGATGTGGGCGCCTTTAGATGTTCTTTCTAACGTTTCAAATGCGCAGGGCGTTTGGCACATGGCCTGTGGCAACAATGTCGGCAGCCGAGAAGAAAGTGGTAGTGGAGGGTCCACTATGCAGTGCCTCAAAAGTCGTCGGTTGGTTCTCAAGGGACTTTAACGATGGGACCACCCGTTCAGTGACGTATAACATGGAAGCTGACTTGAATCCTGCTGGTGCTGCTGGTACACGAGCCCACACGATTGACGTCTCAGGTTTCGCGTTCAACAGTTCAATTTTGTGGGATCCTGAGCGGTGGGGACGGCCAACATCTTTACCAGATACTTCACAGGTTAGTCCACCCCCGCCTTCTGCATGTCAGTAACCAAGCAAGTCTAATCCAATTAAATTTTGTTTTGTCGTGACACAAAGTACTTAGCAGGCTATGATATGTGATTGACTCAGTGAAAAGGCTGGTTCTGAGATATCAGCATTTTTTTGGCTGTCCATTTCTTGATCATCTCATCATCATATAAAAATTGCAAACAACGTACAATAGAGGATCTGTTTGACCGTTGGAATTGTGGAGTGCATGCCTAGCCTAAATATGAAATGTTAAGCCATTGGCATTAGTAATTTGAAGTGTTATTTCAAGGAATGGTTTCATACTCTATGAATTGTTTTCCTTCTGTTATTTGAAAAATGAAAGTCATCAGTTTCTAATACAACAGTGTCTGCGATGTGGGCTGGCATTTGTGGTGATTGCCATGCATTGTAAGGTCCTGTAAAGTCTTTCTTCTTTTGATAAAAAACATGCTAAGCACGATCTCAAGGAAAAAAAAGGGCAAGTGGTTGTAACAGACTGGATGCTGACTTTGTCAATAGCTTAAGTCAAGCATGGGCACTCATGTTCCTTCCGAACAAGATACGGTTATACTAGATAAATCATCTGAATTCAACTCACGATTTTTTTATCTAGAATAATCATAGTACAGCATTACTCATTTTTAACAGAATGGAGTATTTATTACCAAGTATCCAGTGCTTTCTACAGATTCTTGTCCTCTCTACATGGCCTTACCTGATATTGTTGGACTGCCCCTGTTACACAAATTATCAACTTAGATTCGTGGATTGATGTGACAACCCTGGCGTTACACAAATGCCAAATCCCCTTTCAATGGAACATGGCAGGGAACAGATGACACCCCTATCACTTTCGTGCACTCATTAAAATTTCTGGTTCTGATTTTGTTTATATCATCTGCCAACCTACTTTTCTAATCCACGAGATACAGCCACTAATGATACTGAAAGTGGAATGTGCCACTAAACCATGATACTGATTTCTGATTGAAATGAGATAATCAAGCAATATGATACTTATCTGACAAGCAATCCCATACAAACCAGTTCGTGCAAGGAACCTGTAGCTACAGGCGTACAAACCATCTGAAGCTTCGTTCTGAACTATGAGCCGATACTGATAGCATTCAATTTCTCTTCTATTTATCATGTGCAAGCAATAAGCTATCAACAGTTAGTTGATGGAGACTGAGTCCCATGTTGGTTACCTAGCATTCCTATACCTGCCTGCGAATGTTATTCTATCATATCACCTGAATTTTCTACTCCCAACTAACATGATATGTTGTTACTGATGTGATTGCAGGACTCCATCAAGTTTGTGCAAGAAGTGGTACTTGAGGACCGAGCTAAGCTGAAGGGGATCCCCTCTGATTGCTCCCAGATCATGGTGTGGCAGTATAGCATGCCCAGCTCACAATAGAGGGCAGTCAAGCAGATGCACAAGAGGCGTCGCTGCCTCACAGGAAGGGGAAGAACTGCGGGGATTGGATTGGAGTCGATGTAAATGTGGTGGGCGATAACAAAAAGGAAAGGAAGAAGGTTGATTACTTAGGGTTCTTTTTTCTCATTCTCCTTTTGGGTTCCCTTTTTCTCTCAGTTTTGGTTTTCAAGTTTGGAGGCCATGAATGATAACTGCCCGTGGGTGAAGTTCGCCCCCCAAGCAGGAAAAAAAATGTGATAGTATTTATTCAGATTCATTTGTGATTCTTTAGCTTGGTCCTGTTGTGTTTGCGAGGCGGTACCGCCTCGCGAATGTCCCTCTTGTGGGTTGCAATAATACCACTATGTGTAGGGAGGATTGAACTTGGTGAAGAAACCCTGTTCGCTTGAACTTATTGCCTGGCTTATCAGCCATGGTACAGTGTTTTTCTCTCACAACAAATCAGCCAACGGTACTTTTCATCCTGAGCGAACAGGTTGGCATGAGGAATGAAGAAGTTTACTGTGTTGTGGCATGAATTCCAGCTAGGCAGCAATTACCATCTGAAGAACAAAAGATCATGTGCAGAAAGAAAAGAATAAAAACTCTGAATTTGCTCTCAGGTCTTGTTGTTATCTATAGAAAGTTAGAAACTATATTGTCTGATCTTTCCTTCTGGGACAGTGTTTATTTGCTCTGAGGAGGGTTGTGGTTGTTGAAAGGGAAGGGAAACAGGTACTTTGTGCTCCCTGCAGTTATGTCACTGACAGGTGAGCCTGATTGCAATCATGCCCTGTGAGTGACACAAGTGCAAGGAACCAAAGTCAGAGGAGCTCTCATCCGAAAAGGGAAACATGGGGTTCCCAACGGTCTGTGCCTCCGTGAGGAGCTGGTAAAGCAAAACATGGGCAAACCCAGGCGACCATTTGGGGTAAAAAGTAAAAAACTCGGCTTGCAAAATCTGGGCATGAATGATGAGATCCAGTGCTATGACAACCAGATGGATACGGTTGTCCAGTCTGAGACGCTGAGAGGCGTATCAAGCAGGTACGCCGCCGCCGCTGCCGCCGGCGTCGTCGTCGTTATCCCCTGCCTCGGGATTGGCACTCGCCGTGCAGTTGTGACCACAACGAAGGCCATTTGCACATCTATGCGGGCCCAAATAAATGGTCTCTTTGGGGCCTGTTAACGTTACTGCCCCCAAGGCCCCAACCCAACCTAAGCTGGACCGTGAAGCCCAGCACACTCGGTCTGTCGTCTCCCTTCTCGTCAAAAAAAAAAAACTGCGCGAAGATTGTTTCAGGGAAAAAAACTGCGCGAACATGCAGCAAGTGAGTGGGCTACAGAGCGCCTGCAAGGGGACACCTGTTTTTTTTTTTTGAAAATTAGGGGGGCACCTGCTGGATACGACTGATTCGGCTGAACCCTAAGATATAGGCATGTTTGATTGGTTTCTAAAATTTGCCAAGCCAATGATTTAGCAATCAAAAGTTGAGTAAAAATATTTGCTATAGATTTGGAAAGCTAAATATGAGGTATTGACTAATTCTGGTAACCAACCAAATAGAGGTTAAAAATTTGGCTTGCCTAAGTTTTGGCAACAACAAAAATTTGGCTACCAGCCAATCAAGCAAGCCAGTAATCAAATAAGGTCCAAATTGCACTATGGAACCTGGAAAAAGGGTTGCATATGCAACCAATTAGACCATATATATATTTTTAGAACGATATGAACGAGAAATATAGCATGATACTTTTAAAATGTCTTTTACACTAGTACTATATAAGAACTTTATTGTTTTGGAAACGAGAAACGAAATACGAAATGGTTCTCGGATCCCGTTCCCGCTGCTAAGATCAGGACCCGTTGCCTTGCATAAATATCTGGTGCATGCATGCGCGGCTTCTGTTCCAGGCTGAGGAGTAAACGCCGCTCCCCACTCGTGCACGCCTCGTGATCGACATTCGACCCATCACCGGATACATATATATGATACATCGACGTCGTCGGCGTCGGCGTCGTCGTACATATTTAATTTATTTTACGCTGCTACAGTGTTTCGATCGTGAGCACGAGCCACAGCGGCCGGCAAGCAACGCGTGCAAGTGCGAGCAATGCTCTTTATGTTCTTGTTTGGTTGGAGGAAGGAGACCAACACAAATTCATCGGTATCTACTGCCTCCATCTTTTGTGCAAAGTATTCCAACTAGTGTCATTTTTTTCAACTTTATCTAAATTTATAGGAAAATACAGATTGATTTTGTACGTCGCGGAATATGTTTTAACAGTGCATTTATTTGTACTTGTACTTGTACTTGTTAAAATATCTTTTGAAAAATCTAGTCAGATAAAATAAGAAAATTTTGACTTAAAATAAAAGTAAGATAAATTATAATAATTTATATTATAATGGAGAGAGAGAGAGAGAGAGGAGCGATTACATGGTGTTATGCCTTACGTCTGGAGGGCAAAAGCAAATAAAAGAGAAAGGTGGGGGCAAATAACTAAAAGGGAGCTGTGTAGCTAGCCTGCTTTTAGCAAAGGTGAAAACCTACATCCTACCTACACGTACACCTTCTCAAGAGTCAAGATAAGTAGGTCAATGTTATCATTACACCGCTTGCTAATCTTCTATAGCAAAAGTTACAATCTTGGCTCATCAGCGTCTTGGCAACAGCTCCTACGTGTTCTAAGCTGTTGATGTTTTCTTTCGCTGAAAAAAGGTTGTTGGTATTTTCACATAAGGGGCAATTTTCTTCATGCAAACTGAAAAGTGGCATGGTCTTGAAACGCAAATATTGGCACCCACACCCCGAAAAACTACCTTGTCAACCTAAATACCAAGTCTGCAAATTGGCAAAAGAGTGAGGACCGTCTTGTGCATGATCTTGGGAATAAAATATCATATGTTTGTTTTCTGTTTTTTTTACAAAAGATATACTCTCTCCATCTTAAAATACACATGGATTCATAGCCAGTTTTTTTTCCAAAAAATAAATACATTTCCTTAACTCTCCCCAAAACAGCAAGAACCATTTATTGCCTTACCCTAATTCTGTGGACAAGATTAGGTGGCTAACTGGTTGCATGCATCAGTTTGTGAGTATAGGAAACTAAATTTGATGGAATAGTCGATATATTGCTGAGCCTCTTGAATGGATTGTATAGGAGCACAAGGGATTATCGTGTAGTACAAAACAAGTTAGGCTCATATGAAAACAAATCTAAACTCTATCTATTCTACCAAAGATATCACACATTTGTAGTACTCTAGTATTATTCCACCATAGTCACGGTGGAAGAGGCGCGGATGATGACACTGGAGAAGAAGTTGAAAGTTGTAAGCCGATAAGCTCACATCCGCATAGTCATGAAGATCAATCGATCCATCACGGATGTTGTGGCTGGAGTAGAAGCCAACGAGGTTGCTCGAACAAGGTGGTAGCCCTTTGGGTCCATATCAAGGTAGCCGAGCGCAAGGGCGAGTAGCCATGGTCAAGGATGTCGTGTGTAGTATAGCCATGATCAATAGAATCATGGGGTTGCCGATGTTAAGGTAACTGCAAATGAAGTCATGAGCGCACGAGGAGGCACCATGAAGACGGTGGCGCATTGGAGAAGGCATCATAGGTGAAAGCGGTGATGCATCAAGGCAGTCGAGGGAGAAGGTCGAGTCACCATGGATAAAGCATGTCATGGGTTTGTCAGGCTCGGGAACACGTCATAGACGAAGGCACGCACCTGTGTTACCAATACCAGACATACTAGGGAGGGATCCCCAACCATGTATCAATGTTTGAGGGACCAACTAAGAGGGCCTCAACAACGGTTGCGGTGACTAGAACGATGTGGTTATTGGAGTAGGCGAAGTAGGTGGGAAGAGATGGTGACGTTAACGACAAGGTTGTGCTAGACAAAGTGAGGAGGTAGGTCCAAATGATCTAGCACAAAGCCAATAGTCAGGGCATTTATAGTGACAATGTCTAGAGTGGACGACAAAGAACATAACAGCTTGATGAAGTCCAGACACGCTGGGTGCGCAGAGACGTAGTCGAGGACATAGTTGATGATGGTGAAGATGCAACGGCGAGCAAGAGGCAATGTGTAACATCCTCGGTGTTACACCGTAAATCGTTTACTAAAACACTACATGAGCATCATGTGTTATGTGTTGATGCATGTAATATAGAGTGTAGATCAAGTTCCGTAACTCAAAACGATCAACGGAAGTGCGAAACGAAAGTTAATTCAATAGTCATGTTGTATCACTTAGGGTTTAAAACCAATTTTTATTAATCAAAAATCCTATAGAACATGTATGTAATACTTGAATAAAGTTTGAAGTACAAACTTTGAAGATGACGATGAAATACCTGCGGTCGAAAAACGATATTACTAGCTAAGATTTCCAATAGCTTAGAAATGCAATTTGAAATAGAGTTCAACGAAAAACATAGAAAAATTTCGAAGTTTGCCTATAGGTAGACACTACTAGGTTTGGCAATTTATTGTGTGAGATTGGGTTAAGCAGTAGGGTAGTTTTATGGCTTGTTTTTGTAGTCTAGTATGCCGTCTTGGGTGTAGCTAGAGTGGTTTGGGGATGGGATCAACGGTTTAGTCGTGGTTGACGCTTTAAAAAGCGTGCACTGCACGTTTTGGGCCGGTCAGCCGAGCGCGTGTTGTCACCGCGCGCCTGGGGCGCCGCTAGCCATCCTGGCCGATGCCACTTTGGCTGCACGTCGCCCTGCTGCCCTGCCCCGTTGGTCACTGGTGCCGCTGTCGTCGCGTCACCGTTGTGGCGTGCGCCGCCCTCTACTAGCTTCGTCGTCGTTGTTGTTTCCGCTCGGGGTGTAGTGGCATTGCATGGCCGTAGCCTCTGTCGCCAACATGCGCACGTTCCCTCTGCGCTGCATCGTCACGTCGAGTGCACTGTGCACGTAAGGCCATGGCACCCCCACGTGCACCTGCTCCGCCTAGCATCCGCCTCCCACCGAGGCGG